TGTGTATCTGCTTCAATGAAGGGAATTCCCACAACGGGAGTTCACAGAGTTCCCTTCACCTGGTCAACAAATATGTACGAAGCACCTATTATGTGCCAGGCTCTGTGCTGAGTGCTAGGAATATGAAGAACAAAAGAGGCCTGATCTCAAGAACCTGGGGGTTGGGGTGGGGCTGAGGGGAAGGACAATCAGCCAACAGCTAGGCACCAACCAAACACAGACAGACCAACCGGGGCGGCCAGGCAGGGCACTGGATAGAGCACCAGCCAGAGACAGGAAGACTCATCTTCCTGAAGTCAAATCTGGCCTTGAACACTTCCTAGCTGTGTGACCCGGGACGAGTCACTTCACTCTGCTTGCCTCAGTTTCTTCATCTATAAAATGAGCTGGAGAAGGAAATGGCAAACCGCTCCAGCATCTCCAGCTAGAAAACCCTAAATGGGGTCACAGAGAGTCAGACGCAACTGCGATGACTGAACAACAGTCACACATTGGAGAGAATCCCTGAGGGAAGGCACTGGCATCAAGGGTGCGCAGCAAGAAAGGCGCCTTGCAGAAGAGCGGATTTAGGCTGAACTGTACTCCCTTCCACGCTCTCCTGAAGCAACTCCTCACTGCCCCTGCTGGGGGGGGGGAGGTTAAAGGAGAGAAAGCCCCTTCCCCTCTGCTTTGTGCTGCACTAGGAAAAGCACAAAGGAGCAGAGCTCAAGGCTGACAGTCTGGAGGGCCGCTGCTCCTCCACTAACCAATCAGCACGAGTGCCCTGGGTCCCACTGTCCTGACCCACCCCCAACAAGATCTTCAGGCAGTCTACAAATCTGGGAGCGTGACCGTTGCCTAATTCTCACCTTCTTTTCGCTAGAAGTGAGTATCCAGCACACAGCTACACATCTGGGCCCAATTAGGGGCTAAATTTCAAGAATGGCTCTCACTCTGAAGCTGTTTTCAGGCTTGTGAGCACTTTACACGAATGATCTTGCGACTGAAGTGCTTAGTAGGGGCTATTAGTGTGTCCATTTTACAGGAGGAAACTGAGGGTCAGAGAGGCTAAGTGATTTGTCTGGGGTCACACAGCTAATGAATCTCTGAGCCTGAATCTGAACCTAGGTCTTCCTGGCTCCACGTCCGGCCCCTCTGGTCAGTGTGCCACGCTGGTTCTCTTGTATCGTGGTTACTTTGAACCTCATCACTTAGGTTCTGTGTGTGAATGGAATTTTCTGAAGACAGCATCCATTCAGAAGCACATCAGTGAAAGATGGATGCCCAAGCAGACAAACTTTCAGAGAGAAAAGAGAACTCAGCACCAGTACAGAAACTCTCAAATTGTCCATTTTCTCATCAAAATTTGATCAGGTCTCAAGTCCAGGTCAGCAGGACCAGAAGGCTCAAAAAAGCCACTTTCACAGTCTTATTTAAGGAATAATCAAACGTCTTGAAGCTAGGAAAATCTGAAGAGTATCAACATGTGTTTTCCTTTGTGTATAAAGATGATGCCTTCTCATGGCGCTGGCCAGGACTGTACTCCGAGGAGTTTTTCCCACTACGGATGATGCAATGAGCCATTCATAATCTGTGCCATCATCTCCATCTCACTAAGTGCTTTGCAAACCTTTAAGCTCTAGACATGGTGTCCCATGAGTCTTACGGCAGTTATAAGCTTTAATAGCTTTCTAGCACACTGAGACTTTTGGGACAACCTGTACAAATCCATGTATGTATGTATGTATGTATGTAGGTAAGACAGCTAGGCATTACAGTATATATAATTCCAGACTTGGAGTCAGAAAAATCTGGATTAGAAGCTGGCCTCAGATGCCAGCTGTGCAACCCCAAACAAGTTGTTTAACAGCCTCCTCTCAGTTTTCTTATCTTTAAAATGGGGATAACAATAGCAGCTGCCTCCCTCACAGGATCACTGTGAGACTCCAAGGAGATAAGAGATGGGAAGTGTTCCAAAAGCCTTAAAATGCCACGGTAGATATTATTCTTAGCCTACACATTCCTTTACAATAGAGCATCTCTGACCTGGCAGAGAGCTCAGAGGCCATCTCGGTCCCAAGAGCACAAGGCCGAGAATTCCCACTACAACATCCCCGAGTGGCCTCTCTTCTTGCCCCTCATCTCATGATAGGGAGTGACTACATCACAAAAACACACACCCCTCACCTGCCAGCACCCCACTAGATTATAACACAAATGTAGAACTTACCTCAGACTGGAGAGAATGCCCAATACTATAGAATTTCCCTTTGTGAACACTACTGTGTGACTGTCAAATTGATAACTATTAAGTAGCTCATAATCAATGGGGAGAGGGGAATGCCATTTCACATGGGAATTAATTCTAAAACTTAGCATCAGGACAGTTCTAGTACCGTATGTAATTGGATTTCTGACAAAATGCCCCTCTGCCTGAAACAAAACTGAATCTGGAAAAGTTTACACTCAGACAACACCTTCCAAAACTTCACATGACCTGATCCCCAATTCAAGTACTAAATTAAAATGGAGATGATGCCAGTGAGTAGTGATTCCTTTCCATCTTAAAAGGAGATTTTTTTTTCTGGAAATACGAATCATATCATTTCACGTTACAGTTATATCTATACCTCCACACCACCAACCAGTGCAGTCAATTCAGTGGAAAAATGCAAAGCAGCTGGCTGAGCTGACTATAACCAGTTCAGGCAAAATGATAGAACCAATTGGAAAAGGAGAAGTGGAAGTTTCAAATTGAGTCTCTCTTCATAGCTATTTGCAAATAAAAGAGTGACAGAGCCACATCAAGAGAGCAGAATGTGAAACTTCATGCCAAATACTTCCAGGAGAAACCATGTTTTTCCAATGAAGAGCAAAAAAAAAAAGCATGATAAAAACAGAAGTATAATCTTCCTTTCTATCTAACTCTGGAAAAGATGACTGATTTATACTAGCATTAAGATAAAATAGTTCCATTTATATAATCTTGGTATCAAGCATCACCCTCAAATATTTTTTCACAGTAATTCCTCTGAAAATTGAGATTTGCCAGAAAAGTTTTAACACATTCAAATACACTCACTCTGGCACTATGATAGCACAGCTCAAACAACTGGGTGTGCTACTCATTCATTCAAGTATTTATGGAATTATCTATCTAATCTATCAGAAATTCTTTCTCAGATCTTGGGGAAGGCTCACAACACTAGATGTTGGGGCTAGAAAGAGCCAAAACATTCCCTGTCTTTGTGGAACTTAGACCTGTATACAAGGCATTGCTCTCACCTTGTTGTCAGAGAGACTGAAATCCGGCATCTCAGAGTATCTCTAGCTAATCAACAGTATCAGGTTTCTAGGGGTGATCATACTACAACTCGCCTTCTTAAAATTTATACTTCACACACATATAAATACTATCACTGTAGACTCAAGTGTCCCAACTGATGGCAATTATTGGCTCTTCAGAAATTTTGTCCACATGAAGCAGAAAAGACTGATTAATTTGATCAAAGAAAATCATCACCACTAGTGTTGAAAAGTTTTCCGATTTTCAAGAGACTAAGGCTTCCTAAAGGCTTACTTAGCCCTGGACTTTTCCTAAGACCAGAGCTAGTCATAAGAAATTCACTCTCATGGGCACAACACTCTAGGGCAGTGTTTCTTAAAACTTCTTCAGTGCTTAGAATTGAACAGATCCCATAGAATACCTATCCTATTCAATCCTACTTATAATCAAAGGAATTAGAAAGAAAAACAAAAAAACAATTCACCATCAAAATAAAGGGGTGATAAAAGCTACGCTTCAGGAGGAAATCACTGAATCGATGTCCTTTCTTTAAAAACTCACTATGAAAAAGAAATATATTTTCATAGGTGAGTAACCCACAGACCACTTGGAAGATCACTTCCAAACTAAGACTGCAAGAATGTAAAACTTATCTTGCTGTCAGAAAGATTTCCTGTTCCAGAAAATCAAGAGATTTTCTTGTATCCTAATACAACTTTCCTCTTAAAGATCTGAGCAGGTGCCAGGGTAGAGGATAGGGACAGGGTAGGTGTGTATATGTGGGGAGGGGACTATGGTCAAATTTCTTTTCTGGACTTCATTCCATAAAACACACCACTTGTTAAGAATGAAAAATGTATCCCGCTTGCATACAGCTAATAAAGAGGAGGCCATTACATATACCTGACCAAGGCAAAAAATAAAATAAAAAAATTGTATTTCACTTATAAGTTTAATCATTTGAGTTCTCTCAATATTCCAGATAACCTAAAACATGAAAATAAAATAACAATGAGGTCAAGATAGACTTAGTCATTTTGCTTTTCATGTATTTTTCTAAGAACTAGTTTCTCTAAAGCAATACTGACTGATACTGGTGGGAGAACAACATTAAAGGTGATTCCTTCTGAATGCTGAGTCGAAGCACATGCCAATCGCCACGGAGTGACTGATGTGGCAGAATAAGGTCATTTAAACATCTATTGTCTGGGGCTATATTTCCTCCAGGGGAGGAAGAAGACACTATTAAGAATGATCCACAGCCTAGGGTAATGAAACCAAGATGCAAACTTTTGGCATTTCTGGCTTGACCAACAGGAAGTGGGAAATGACAGTCCATTTGATAGATGGTGCAACCGTTTCCTACTTTCTACCATGCTGTGTTACTGAATAGTAGGAAATATTTATGGTTGGGTCATTATAAATCAAACTGACAGGTTTCAACATTGTTGGTCTTTAGGACACACCACTATGAACACGTATGAGCTTATCAAACTCAAACTGACGTTGAATATGCCAAACGTCATTTGTTAGGTGGAGAGAACAGTCTCTGACACTCATTTTTTAAAAACCCTTTAAGCTTTGGGTTTAATACAGTCTCTACGGATGGCCCGTATAGTCAGTCACTGGGTCCATGCTCAGAATGAACGATCTCTACACAGAATGCTTAAATTCAACCAAACTCGGCATTGGCCTGTTCCAGCTGCCAAGACGTAAGTGACAACAAACACGGTACCTTTTTGCACTGGTTGACAATTTCGCTGCAGTCTTGCTAGAGATCTTGCCTTCCTTTTTCTTGGGTTGAACTTGCTCTCTTTCCTGTTCCTGCTGCACCCCTTCACGCTGGTCTCCATCAGAACTGCCTCCGCTAGTACTTGGGCTGTCGTCAACTCTTTGCCCTTCAGTGGACATCTTAAGTGCTGCGTTGAAGTCCCAAAATAAGCAAATTAGCTTTTCCTTGTGGTAGAAATGAACACACAAACATCTAAAATCCTGTGACATTGAGCAGTATGACAATAAGGATTAGGCCAGTGGTTTCACTGGGCAAGGGAACTAACTCACTGATGAGGAACCTCCTTGTAGCCACGGAGGTTGGCATCTTCTTTACGACTTATTAAGGAATTGCTAAAGCACTGAGATGAAGAAATCTGCCTGGGTTCATATAGCCGGTGGGCATCTGAGGCCAAACTTAAAATGAGATCTTTTGAAGTTCTGAGGTTGGTTTTCTTTATTCACCATCAGTCCCCAACCAATCAATCCAAGAAGAAGGGGGGGAAAGATACATTCAAGACAAGACATGGCATCTAAGAGGAATTAAGGGAGCAGTTCTCATAACTGGAGTCTAGTTTATACCTAGAGGAGTACGGTGTAGTAGAAAGAGCAGTGGACTTGGAATCAAGAGGAATCCGTGTTCAAATTCCAGTATTTCTATCTAAAGACAACCCCCACACACACTCCCACAGGCTGAGGACTCCCTATTGAAGAGGAAAGAACTGATGAATCACTAGAAAATCCTTTTTACAGAAGGAGGCCCCGTAAGACAGCTCTGAAAGCCACTAGCAGGGAAATCTCACTGTCTCTGTACCTATTCCATGAATGGAGAACATCAGTCTCCCCAGCTGTGACATCTTTTATGAGCACTAAAGTCACTTAATAGAATACTGAAATTTTATATCGGCATGTTTCATGTCTAGCTCTAACATAGCTACCATATTTCTTGATTTTTTTGCCAATTTTTTTTACTTTAATCATAAGCCTTAGATTTCACATTATTTTCTTGAACTTATTTCCTTCCTTTAAAATTAATCAGATGTGTGTGTATATAAGAGCACATCAGCGTGTATGTGAGTATATATCTCTGTATGATAACCAGACTTTCTTGTGTAGGATGTGGGCAACAACTATGGCTGGCTGTGTCTTTAGCAATGTGATACAAGACTCTTTTGTACCACTTATGACAGAAGCTAACTGTGTGTGGCATGTCATAAACAGGGAAATCCTCGACTGAATAAAATTCTTCCTGAGACTTTTTGCTGAAGCTACTTCAGCTGCACCAACTACGCCTGAAGTTTGGTTCCCAATTCAGTATAACAGAAATAACAACAGTGACATTGACATAGTTCTTTAAGGTATGGCAAAGCACTTGCCATATCCAGTGCAACCTCCTCATTTTACAAATGAGGAAAGTGAGGACTGGAAAGGGTTAGTGACTTTCTAAGGTCATATAGGTAATAGTAGGGGCAGGATTTGAACCTACATCCTCTAATTATTCAAATTTCCACTACCTCCACTACTTTCCAGGGCTCCTTTTATATTTGTTTCAGCAAGCTGTCTTCATTTGTTGTCTTCTCAATAAATATTCACACATAGAATTTGGAATTTGATATCTTAAAAAACAAAATGTTAAAAATTGTTTTTACATGTAACCAGAAAAAATAAAATATTAAATATATTTTTAAAAGAAAAAATATTCCCATACAAATATCTACAGGGTCAGCCCACAGTTTGAATTCATCATTTACAGTATAGAAATAACTAGCATTTATATAACACTTAAAGGTTTGCAAAATCACTGTCCATATGTTATTTCATTTGACAGAAACTTTCACACACTGATCTAGGCAATGATAGAGAAAACAAAAAGAAATTAGTATCAGAAGGCAGAAGCTAAACATACCTTAAAAATTTTTCAGACAAATGTTGACATTTTAAAAATATACTTTCCTAATGAAGATGAAAACTGTGCTTCAGGACTGTAGAGTTGGAAGACATATTATTTTATCAAAATCTCGAATTGCCAAGGGGCGTGAACCCCTCTAGCCATTCTGCCAATGTTAGATGTAAACAAATACTTAATACATTGCATCTCCTTTCCAAAGGTGAGGATAAAATGAATTGTTTCTGACTATGTTTTTGGAATTCTTGATTAGAAAAAAAGTATGGGAAAAGCTGATTGCCTTTCCCCAGTGAAGCTAATTTCCAAAAAGAGAAAGTACTTTTCAGAAGTCTTAATTAGACTTGAATGCAGAAGAGGGGTGCTTTGTTCAATCTCCAAAACAAAAATCAACCAAAAATTCCTGAATCTGAAAACCTCAAACTCCCCAAATCATCTCCTTGGGAATTAGGGTTTTGAAAAATAATTCTCATTTTTACCAAAGCAAATTCCTAGGTATTAGACCAGTTTTTTAACCTAGAAAGATAAACAAACCCCAAGGCTATGAACTCAGAGCTTCTTTACAATAGCAGTTTGAAATCGGTTACAATTTTCAAATGGCTATTTTGATTTTGTAGCCATCCCACCTTCATTTACCTTCAGAAGCAAAATACGATGTAGTATTTCCTAAACAACTGCGAATCATGGTATGTTATGAAGGTTTGTATATTGACCTTTCCTGAACGTATTTACTTTAAGAAACTCACAAACTGTTCAACTTTACAAAATATGCTGTAATCAACTACAGTCCTGAAATTAACAAAATATTTTTAATGAAGCCCACATGTTCACTGAATAGCAAGCGTAATGATTCTGGTGTAAATATTACTTCTTACAGAAAAAAAAAATCACTTTCACTCCATAAGGCCAGGTTACAATCCAAGAGATAAATGTTCTGACAGTAGCCCACAGTGTGTAATTATAATATCGAGTCATGCCAGCTTTTTTTTTAAACAGGAAAATGCTTAGTTTGTCATTTAATGTCTAGCTGTTTTCTTTTCTCTTCGTGTTTTTCCCCTTCTGCCCTTTTCAAAAACAAAGGTTTAGTCCATTTCTATCACTGTGCACAAAAGCTATCACAACCCAAATTTAAGCAAAACCATCAGGACATATTTAATTCAATTCAAATGAAACAGTTGTCAAACACCTACAAAGTGCCAAGTTCTAGGGATAGAAAGAGGACACTTCCTTACCCTCGAAGGGCTTACAGGCTACATGCACAAAGAGAAGTAAAAATACGAAGTGATCTGAGAATGGAGAAAACACTAAAAACCTTAGGAAAAGTGAGATCCTTGATCTTGCATTTCCCTAGGAAATAGTAGAAATTATATCTACACCAGAGAAGGTCTATTACATAAACATATTTGTTAGAATGGGAGAAGGTATGATGAGCATAGCAATAAGTGGGGAAATACAGAATGGTACGATTTTATGAAAACTTTCACACATGATGTCACTGCTAAGAACCAAGAAGTTTCAATATCGTCTAGGTCAAGAAGCACATTATTATCTGGAAGGTCTTGGGTGAATTATTAGACATTTAGAAACACCCCATCAAAAAAAAAAGCTAAGCATAAGAACCCCAAAGAAAGCTTAACCTTTGTCCAGGATGGGAAATAATTTGAGGCTCAGACTTAGCACTTCTCTTTACACTTTTAAGTAAACATACTATGAGGCACTTCATTTAAAAAAAAAAAGCAACTACATAGATGAATCCTGGAAACATGCAAATGGGTCCAGCAGGGAGAGTGCCTGGGATCACGTCTCTCTCTCTATCTCAATGGGCCTTAATTTCCTTAAGGGAAGATGAATTACACATTCCTCGTCGGTCCTGCAAAGAAGCCATACTCCATCTTCATTAGAAAAGGTAAAGGGCAAAAGGATCAAAACATAGTAAGGGGGGGGGGGTGAACCCAACCACCAAACAAGCCCAGGGAATCCGGTTTCCAATCAGGCCGGTGTAAGCTGTAGAGAAGAGACCAGAGCAACAAAAATGTGCTGTCTGCCACTGCTCCGAAGTGTGACAAGGCACCACGCAGCACAAAAGACCAATACACCGTACAGTCCACACCGAGACACACACGTACACCAACCACCAGGTCTTTTCCTGCCTGGCAAACGGGTGTGTGTTGGGGAGTGGGGGGGGGAAGGGAGGGAGGAGATGGAAGGGAACCAGAGAAGTCACATGTCATGGAGAAGATACAATGTGCAATCATTTTGCAATTAGAGAAAATCGCAAAAGATTAAACTGGACACTTTTCAACCTGACATTTCTGCTGTACTTTCCAAAGACTTAGTTGCCAGAGCTTGGGAGGGAGGGAGAGAGGGAGGGAGAGGGAGAGAGAGAGAGAGAGAGAGAGAGAGAGAGAGAGAGAGAGAGAGAGAGAGAGAGAGAGAGAGAGAGAGAGAGGAAGGGGAGGGAGGGAGGGGGCAGGGAGGCTGGAGAAGGATGGGTAAATGAGAACGAGGGCTGGGCAGACGATGGGGAGGGGAAGGGGTCGGAAAGAGGGGGATGGGGAAAAGAAGGTGGAAGGGGGTTCGGTAGAGGACAAGGAGAGTGGGAGGAGGAGGAAGAAAGTAGGAGAAGATGGAAAAGAGATGGGGGAGGAAAATGGGGCCAGGAGACAGGAGTGAGGGGGTGGCAGAGGAGAGGAGACAGCAGGGGAAAGGGAGGGGAGAAAATAGGGCGAGGAGATAGAGGGGAGGAGATTGGCGTGGGGGAGGGGGCCGGGTGGGGGAGGGGGAGCAGGGGGAGCGGGGGGGTCCCCCAGCCCCAAGCAGCGCCGCAGCCGGGGGTCGTCGGTTACCTGGGCTGGGGGCAGTCCGCGCAGGTCGCTGTCTTGTGCTGATCCCCGAGGACGAGGAGGAGGAGGAGGCGGCGGCGGCGGGCAGAGGTATCCGCCGGCCGCGGACTTATGGAGCCCCGGACCCCCCAGTGCCCAGCTGCGCTCCCTCGCGCGCCCTCACTCCTCCCTCGCTCGCTCTAGCCCCGCTCTGGCTCCCGCCGCTCCCGCGTCCTTCCACTCGGGCTCGGGCTCCGGCTGCTGCCGCCCCGGACTCTGGGAAAAGTGAATCCACCAGCACCTCGCGGACCGCGCCGCCTCCGCCCGCGCCCGCGCCCGCGCCGCCGACGGCCGGGCACCCAGCCGTGCGCGCGCCCCACGTCCCCGGAGCTGCTCCCTCCCCGCCCCTCCCTCCCGAGCTGGGCGCGCGCCCGAGCCGGGGGGCGGGGGCAGCCCCGGGAGGCGCGCGCCCGCCCGCGGGCGCGAGGCTCCTCCCTCCCGGCGAGGGGCGGGGGCAGCGGGCGGTGGGGGTGGGGGGGAAGAGAAAGCAAGAAAAAGTAAAGTGACAGCTGAGCCCCGCGGGCCGAGGGGGGAGGGGATGCTGGCTGGGAGGAGCTCGGAGGGGGAGGGGTGATTAGTGTGGGGGAGGGGCGAGGGGGCGAGGGGACCTTGGCAGGGACGTGGCGGGCGCGCGCGTTAAAGGGAAACACTGACAAGGAGGGGGAGGGGAAGAGAGGCAGAAAGGGATGGGGGGGCATGGGGTGCAGTGGAGAGGTTCTCCCGAGGAGTGGGAAGGACGGAGGAGGTGAGTGGGGGGGGAGAATGTGGGCCCCAAAAACTCAACTAGAAGCAAGGGGGAACTACCTCCCCATCTCCCCATCTCTCTCTCTCCCCTCTCTCCTTCTCTCCTTCTCTGTCTCTCCCTCCCTCTTTTCTCTCTTCTTCTTCCTCTCCTCTCCTCTTCTTCTCTTCTCTTCTCTCTCTTCTCTTTCCCCCCTCCCTCTTTCCTTTTCTCCCCTCCTCTTCTCTCCTCTCTGTCTCCCTCACTCTCCCTCCCTCTTTTTTCTCTCTTCTTCTTCGTCCTCTCCTCTCCTCTTCTTTCTCTCTGTCTCTCTCTCTCCCCTCTCCGTCCCTGTCTCCCTAACTCTCCCTCCCTCTTTTCTCTCTCTGTCTCTCTCTCTGTCTCTCTCCCTCTTTCCTTTTCTCCCCCTCCTCTTCTCTCTCTCTGTCTCTCTCTCTCTCTGCTCTCCTCTCCTTCTCTCTCCCTAACTCTCCCTCCCTCCTTTCTCTCTCTGTCTCTGTCTCTCTCTGTCTCTCTCCCTCTTTCCTTTTCTCCCCCTCCTCTTCTCTCTGTCTCTCTCTCTCTCTGCTCTCCTCTCCTTCTCTCTCCCTAACTCTCCCTCCCTCCTTTCTCTCTCTGTCTCTGTCTCTATCTCTGTCTCTCTCCCTCTTTCCTTTTCTCCCCCTCCTCTTCTCTCCTCTCTGTCTCTATCTCCCTCACTCTCCCTCTTTTCTCTCTTCTTCTTCTTCCTCTCCTCTCCTCTCCCTTCTCTCTCTCTCTCTCTCTCTCTCTCTCTCTCTCTCTCTCTCTCTCTCTCTCTCTCTCTCTCTCCCTCCCTCCCTCCCTCTCTCTCTCCCTCCCTCCCTCCCACTTTCCTTTTGTCCCTCTCTTCTTCTCTCCTCTCTGTCACACACACACACACACACACACCCCTCCCTTCCCTTGCACACTGGGTGTTCAGAAAAGTTTAGCCAAGCTGGCCAGGCTGACCTCTGAAACCCAAAGGACTGGGGAATAGGTGAGGTCATCAGGGCCTTCTGACCAACTTTGAGCCTAGGCTGCCAGACATCTCTCTAACCCAGGCCACGCCTCCTCCCCACCCACAACCCAAAGCCACCTGGGGCCATCCCGGTGGGGAGGAGGGGGTCAGTGACTCCACCTTGAATCGGGCTGAGAGTCACCGGAGCCAGTTCCCTTTTGGGGTGTGTGGGAGGCAGGCCTCCAAAGCCAGGGCCATGACTCATAACCCCAAGCTGCTACCAAGGCTAGGGGAGCCTTGGGATCCTAAGTCACCTGAGGGTGGACAGAAGCAAATATATAATGCCCTTCCTGATTAGCTCAGGGAAAGCTGCAGACCTAGTGTAATTAATGTAAGATTAAGCCCTCCTTGTGAGGAGGAGCAGAGACCTGTGCAACACACTTGCCGCGGGCAAGAAATATAGAAATCAGTGTAAGAAAATCCCCGGGGAAAACCACCAAAAGCCTAATTCCACATTCCCAGGATAAGAAAACCCTTTCCCCTAGTGACTCCTTCAAACAGGGCCAATCTCTCAAACACCCTTAGCAACTGGTAGAATCGGGTATCGAAAACTGACGACCAATAGATAGAACCTATACCTATAAATCACTACAGGGCAAACGGGACGCCACTTTTATTTATAGCTTAGAGTACTGGAATCATAAAGCATTAAGAAAAAAGAATATTCTGGGATTAGAAATGTCATATCCTGAGATTATTAAACAGAAAACTCAGGCAGCAAAAGCAGTAACATCAGTATCAAAAGACAGATGTGGTTCTACGGGGAAATGAAATGAGAGAAAGAAAGTGAGGTGTTATACATATACACACATATACATATGTATACATATACATGCATGCACAGAGATTGAAATCTCTAGTGAAAGTGCATTATCTAAACTTTTTCTGGTCCTGAGTACAGCACTGAACAAAATTCATTAAATAATGGAGTTTATCCTCCTGATTTATCTACAAGGTAGGAGTATGCATTATCTTTCTGCATAGAGCAGCAGTCACAGAAAGATTAAAGGTCTCAATATTTATTCAACTTGAAGGTGACAGATGATAGAATTCTTGTCTCCTGGCTACATTAAAGCTGTGCTTTCCCTCCATCTAATAAACTACTCTTATCTCTAACCAGTGGTACTTTGTTGTCAATAGTAGCATTTCTTACAATGACTGATGGATAACAAAATATCCCACTATCAGAGAAAGTATCAAAATTGTTTTTTTTAACAAAGTCCTGTGATTGTTCATTCACTGATATCAGCAAGCAAACTATAGAACTTTATCATGTCCCATCCTTGTGAAAATAATGGATAATGTTTCATCTCCTCAAAAGCCAAAACTTTTGCTGCTATATTATTTCATGAGGAGTGACTTGTGTGACTGTATAAGTAGACCTCTGTGGCTCCATTCCCCAAGTCCAGTTCAGGAAAACATCACAAATTCAACTCTTACTTTCTCAGAGAAAAGTCCGATAAACATTGCCCTAATTTCTTCTGGTGTGATAACTACAATTCTCACAGAAGTCTCCCAGAGTATTCTCTCATGGGAAAAATGAAATGATCTCCAAATAAATACCATTTCTTCTGTGTATTTCAGGCTTAGGCCCATCAATTCTTCATGCACATATTCATTTTGTCTCCTAATAATAACAATAATAGCTGGCATTTTTATAGTGCTTTAAGGTTTGCAAAATCATTTTTATAAATACGAATTCATTTCACCCTCACAACAAACCTTGAGAGGTAGCTGCTATTACTAACTCACTTTTACAGTGGAGGAAACTGAGGCAGAGGTGAAGTGACTTGCGCAGGGTCACAGGGGTAGTGAATGTGTTGGGTAGGATTTGAATTCAGGTCTTCCTATGTAGATAGGAAAAGTAAATAAGCGTGGTGGACCAGGAGTCAGGAAGACTAATCTTTTTTTTTTTTTGGCTAGGCAATGGGGTTAAGTGACTTGCCCAGAGTCACACAGCTAGTAAGTGTCAAGTGTCTGAGGCTGGATTTGAACTCAGGTCGTCCTGAATCCAGAGCTGGTGCTCTATCCTCTGTGCCACCTAGCTGCCCCAAGACTCTGTCTTCTTGAGTTTAAATCTGGTCTCAGACACTTACTAGATATGTGACCCCAGGCCAGCCACTTAACTCGGCCTCAATTTCCTCATCTGTCAAATGAGCTGGAAACCACTCCAAAATCTCTGCCAAGAAAAGCCCAAATGGAGTCACAGCAAAGTACAAGCCCAGTACTCTAATCACTGTGCCATCTATCTCTTAAGTTAGTGGCATGAATCAATTCCAGGTATTCTAACACAATATAGGATTTAAAGTAGAAAATCTAAGTTTGAATCCTGGCTCTGCCACTTACTACCCGAGTGAATTTGAGAATCCTCTGACACCCATGTCAGTAAAGTGAAAGGGTTGAGCAAAATTTCCTCTAAGATTCCTTCCAATTCTAAATCTCTAATCCTGATTCCAACACCTACTGAATAAGGCATTGATGCTAGCATTCAAAGCCTCCTCGGCTTGAGCCCACCCTTCCAGCCTTATTTCATATTATTCCCCGTGCCTATTTGCTGATTTCCAGACAAAATCTCTGTTTCTTGTCCTGTCATCTCCCATACCTTTACTCAGATTATTCCCCAGATTTGGATTGGATCCTCACCAACACTCCTACCCCCATCTGATGAAGTCCTTCCTCCTCCACCCAATTCTAGTGCCAACTTCTCCACTACCTCAAGGTTAGTGGCCTGACAATCTCTGGTGTAATTTTGAAAAGAATGATGCTGATTGAAATTTAGTGATCATCGTGTCAGGGAAGAAAAAAGCCCTGAATAGGGAGACATGCAACTGAATTCTACTCCTGACTCTGCTGCTCACTGTGTGACTCTGGAGAAGTCACTTCCCATCTCTAGTCTCTGTTTACCACCCTAAAAAAAGGTGGGGCTTGGAGCAGACGATTCTTAAGGTCCATTGCATCTAATAGTCTGATTTATGGAACGTACTCTACAAACTAATTTTTTTTCCAATTCATAGGCTAGAAAATTGAGTTCACCCTACGGATTGTATAGATGCCCTTAAAGTGCTTAAATAATGCATATCACATATGTCATCGTTATTTTGGCTTATTTTCATAACAAGTCACTTTTACAAAGCATGCTAAGATCTACAATCCTTTCCTCACAACAGCCGTTTAAGGTAGATAATGCAAGGAATATTGTCCCCATTTTATGGAAGAGCAAACTGAGACTTAAGAGAGATTAAGTGATTTGCCTATGGCCATGCAGCTTTAATGTCAAAGACTAGATTCAAATCCAAGTCTTCAGACAGAGATAGGATTTGAAGTCAGAGGATCTGAGTTTCAATTCTGACTTGGTTTCTTATTACCCATGTAATATGGGAAAAGTCGATTACCATTCCTAAACCAAGGATTGCTTATCTGGCAAACAAGGGGATTGAGCTAGATGTCCTTTAAAGTCCTTTCCTACTATAAACCTATGATCCCAAGGACAACATTTTCCCTACTATATTTTATTTAGTATGTGATAAAATATTTT